TACTTATCCCCTACTAGTAATTCCTCAACAGTTTTGCAGGAGAGGGAAGCGCTGGAAGGCGGCACCTCCGCAGCGCGGCCGCGGAGCCTGCGCTCCCGCCGCCCATAACGCGCCCCCCGGGAGCTCCCGCAGCCTCCCGCGCTCTCCAGGATTCCCAAACCCGCTTCCAAGTGTGGGGGGAAAAATAGGGAATAGCGCAAGGGCCAATGGAGTTGAGGTTGCACCGCTCCCTCGTGCCTCCCCCTCGGCCCCAAGAGGGGCACTTGCGCACGTCGGAAGCGCGATATACATACATATATACACACCTATGTGTGTGTGTGTGTATATATATGTATATAAAATAATAAAATAGAGCGACACGAGCGGTAATTTCATTTAAAGTTTGCAGGGCGCCTGTTCCCCSCTCCGCTCCGGCGCCTGTTCCCCGCTCCGCTCCAGCGCCTGCAGGGCAGCGTAGGGACCCACTGGGCCCCCCCAGGTCCCTGGTCTGCCCCGGCCCCGGGATTTTGGTTTCTCGGCGCGTTTTTCCGGCGAGCAACGGGAGCGTTGGCGGCTCCTCCGCGCCGGCACCTGCCCCGCGGGCCTGCGGAGCCGCGCGGCCAGCTAAGCGGGCGCGCTGCGCTCCGAGGTGCGGCCCGGGGCTCGCCGCAGGGTCGCGGGCGTCGCTTGCCTCCTTCGCAGCCTCCGTGGCGGAGCTGGGGAAATGTGGCGTTAAAACAGGACAAAAAAAGACGCATCGGARTTATTGGGTGCGCTAATAAACCACCGTGTGGGGATTGGCACCCTAGGAGCGGGGATCCCTGTCTTCAGTGCTCCCATTAGGCGCCAGAGGTTGAACAGCATTTCATGCACTTCCCAACCCGCTCCTCTTCCCCTGGAATACGCCGGAGCACAAATCTGTGCGCAGGGAATTGTGTTTTAGTTATTTCCCCCGTAGACACTGGGTGGCCTTTGGCTTCCGAAGGGAGCCGGGCTCCGCTCCCTGCGTGCGCAGGAGCTGTCGCCTCTCGCCCGTTTGCACCGCGCGCGGAGCGGTCCTGCTGCTGCGCGGACACGTCGCCGAAAACGCCGAATTTACCCCCTTTCCGAGGCGCGCGCCCCCTCCCCGCCTGCTCGGCCCGCCCGGCGCGCAGGGCCCGCGCAGGGGGCCGCATTGCCCCGCGCAGCGACCACCGCGCTCCTCGCGTGACCCTAAAAACGGGCAYGTCCTGAAAGGGCCCCCCGAGGCGCGGAGCGGCCGCGCCCGCTGCGCGCCCCGCAGCCCGGCCCTGCTCCCCGGCTAAGCGCGACAAAACCCGACGTTTCAATGCGTGGATGTAGCAAACGACAAGACCCTCTCCGTGACAAAAATATGGGTTTTGGAGACACTGACTGCCCCAATATTTCTTTCTCTCCCCACCTCCTTTTTTTTTTCTCTTGTTGTTGTTGTTATTGCTCCTCTCAATTGCAAATTAACCAAATGTTCGCTCCAATACCTGCTACAAATTAACCCAGCGAGCAAAATAACAGTGACCTGAGCATGACGTGGCAGTGCACGAACGAACGGCATCTCTTCCCCAGCAAGTACATTTGTAAACATTAACAATGCGCAGGTGGGAAAAAAAAATAATAGTAATAATAATAGTAATAACACAACAGAAGATTCGAGCGGAGCAGCGAGGAGACACACGAAAACGGTCTGGAAAACGCCGCAGTTAGAATACAAACGCTATTTACCTTGTGCTTTTCTCTGCCCGCGACTTGCTTTATTGTCCCTGCCTGCCACAACGCAGAGCCAGCCCGGGCGGCAGGAAGGCTCCTTCGGCGCCGGGCTCGCTACTAAAGGGCTCGCGTTCTTAGAGATTTGGGGGGGCTGAATTAATTCTTACATTAGGACGCTTTTAATTTGCAATCTGTCAGCCCATGGCGCGGCTGCGGCGCGGGGACGGCAGCGCGCGCTGCGCCTCTCCGCGCAGCCTTTGCTCACGTTCAAGAACAGCCAACAGAGACCAAAAAAAAAAAAAAAAAAAAAAAAAAAAAAAGGAACTAATTGAGCTTGTGAGCTTGTGTCGGCATTGGCTAATTTCTGCTAATACTCCGCAAATTCCTCTGTTCCCTCTAACCTTCCCCCCGCGCAGGTTGCATTTGCACAAAGCATCTGCGGAGAGGCAGGCGCCTCTCCCGCAGCCGTGCGCTGGTTGCTGCGCGGCCGCGCACGGCACGCCCTGACCTCCTGCCTCCCGAATACCCCCCCTGCACCCCCCTTTGCGAGTGACTCCGCTCGCTTAAATTTGCACTTGTTCCCACCGAGCGCCCGCGAACGCGTCCTGCGCCGGCGTGAACTTGTGTTGAAGGTGAAGTTTTCAATATAGAGGTCATGACACCGCGGCGCAGCTTACCGCTCCGCGCTTCATGCTGTATTAAACACAATCAAAACGACCCCCTTTTAGACCATTTTTCCCCCCTCCTGCAGATGAACAATGAGAGAGAAAAAAAAAAAAAAAAAAAAAAAAAAGGAGGAAAAAATACCCTCTAAAATATAACAAAGTCAGGTCTGCGCCGCCGGCGGTAACGGCGCGGCCGGGCGCGCTGCGCTGCGCGGCCGCTGCCGCCGCCTCCGCGGCCGAGTGCGGGGACTCGACACAATTGCAGCTCCTGCACTTCAAAGCCGGGGGTTTCTCTATAGCGACTTCTAGCTGCCCCGAGCCGACAGGCTTCTCCCAGCTATTGTGTGATCTTTTTCATGCCAGAGGTTTAGCAGGAAAATATATATATATATACACGAAACCCGGCCATTTGTTGGGGGGAAACGTGGGTCTTCCGCGTGCGAAGGCACCTAGAGACAAAGGGCTGGAGAGCGCGGTCCAAACCCAGAAACTTTTTTACTTTAATGGGTTTCAGTCTATGAAAAATAAGTTACAAATTCTTGCAACAGTAGCTTTGCATGTACTTATTTTTCTCCCATGTCCAGACGGGGTCGTCTATTGAATAAGGCTCTTTTATTCTGCATGGGGCAGGGGATTTGTGGCCATGGTCCCCCTTTTATTCCGCTCTCTATGGAAACCCAGATCATGGGGAGAAATATGCGAGGCTGAATAAAGAAAAGCAGCAGAAAGGACCGCTTGAGAGCGGCATCTGTTACACTTGGGAAGTTAGACTGACAGGAAAGAGCTAAAGAAACCCTCTCCAGCAGATTAGTTAGAACAGCAAGAAGATTTAACTATATGCAGATAAAAAAAAAAAAAAAAAAAAAGGCACTTTAAAATTAACCATATTCTCCTATAGGCAAGAGCGGAGCCTCCTCCGCCAGGCGCGGAGCTCGGCGACGCTGGGCTCGGCTTGGTCCCGTTTGCAGCAAATATTAAAGCGGCACTTGCGGGGTTTATCTCCCCGCTAGAGCCTCCGCCTTAATTAAACGGAGAAGCCGAGCGTCTATTTTCACGGGCAGTGGGATTTGAAAAATTGTTTCTGAAGTTAAAGTGCAAATTAATTTTAAATAATTTAGCTGCGTTTTTATATAGCATGGATTTTCCCTTTTTCTTCCTTTCTTTTTTTTTTTTTTTGACACTTTTCCTTTTTCTTTCTCTTTTTCTTTTTTTTTCTTTTTTTTCCTTTTCT